GAGCCTGGGACGCAGACCATCAGGAGTCAGGTTCGCAGTGGGAAAGAGAGTGCTGGAGGGCCCAGGAGACCCTATGGCTGAGGGAGAAGCAAGGAAAGCCTTTGTGGTAGGTGTCGGTGTAGTCCTCCTGAAGCCTGCCTGCACTCCGGCTTCTAGACCCCTGGCCATGTCTGCCTCTGCCTAGCTTTGTCTTGAGGCTCTGCCTTAGAGGACATTACCATTTTGATGCTGATGGAAGGAGTGTACCCTTTTCAGAATTGCTGGAAAGTCCCTTACCTGTAGGCAATGTGTATGGGGTCTTAAATCTTCCAAGGGTCTTGACTTACAAAGGAAACATACACTGGGGAGAATCTCCTCTTTGTTGGGTCGTACGTTTAGTGGCTGCCTGGCCTGGGACCTGCTGAGCCTCAGTACAGGCCTTGATGTGCCAACATGGTTAGACACAGCCGGGGTGGAAGCCAGCAGTATGCTCCTGATGGTCACACAGCCCGTGAGATGGGAAGTCCCTGTGACTGGTTGGCCCTTTGCCTCAAAGTGACCTACACAGGACAAGGGAATTGACACAATTTGTGCATGCATGATAGACTTCCTGCTGTTTCTTGCCAGGACTGATAGGAAGTATGTACCTTGAGATTTTAATTTTGGGAAGATGATTTTCACTTTCTTACTCCACCATGCAGCCTGGGTCACTGAACCTGCCTGGCCTGAGGCTTTATCCCCCTTCTGTTTTGACTTCCCCAGTCTCTCTGACCTGCACAAGAGAATGCAGAATATCAAAGCCGCAAGGGCCGTAAAGCCTGAGCAGATGAATCCCATCATCTGCAGCCCCAGGAGCTGGCCTGGGGAGGAGAAGGGCCTTCTTGCTGCTACAGAATGTGTTAGTGGCAGGTTGGCTTTTTTCTTTTTTTGGGGGGGGGGTAGGGAGGGGGTCTCACTATGTTGCCTGGGCTGGTCTTGAACTCTTGGCCTCAATCCTGCAACCTCTGCCTCCCAAAGTGCTAGGATTACAGGTGTGAGCCACCATGCCTGGCCCAGATTGGCCATTTTAACCCAGGTCTTTGTACAGAATGTCTTTTGGAACCAGCTAGTCTCTGTGACTTTTATCTCATCTGGGTCATGAGATGGGCAGAGTACATGAGGCCCTTTGTAAATGTTCGAGTTACATAAAATGTTGATTATTGCTAATGATGCTCAGGATCCGTGCTCTCTGAATCCCCTGAGGGACGGATTATCCCAAGGCTGTATCACTCTGAGGATGGGAACTGTCCCTTGTTAATCACAGGAGTTACCATTTACTGGGTGCCAAATAGGTACTAGGCACAATATTAGACGTTTCTTGAAGGCTCATTTTCTACACAGTAGCCAGCAGATACTGAGTACTTGCTATGTGCCAGCTACCGTTCTGAGCACTTTATGTGTAATATCTTACATATTCCTTACTATAACCCTGAAAGGTATGTACTGTTACAACCCCTATTTTGTAGATGAGAAAACTGTGGCTCAAAAGGGGTAAAGAACTTGCCTCAGGTTTCTGTTTGCAATTTATTCACCTTAGCCAATACTTAGTATTCGCTCTAGCATGGTCCCTGGCACGGAAGATTCGTGGCAGGTGTTTACCACTTTAGGCTCTAACTGGGCCATCCAAGCTTGGCCTTGGTCTAGCCTCTGCTGTGCCCTCCTCAAGGTAACTTAAGGGCTGTTGCTGCTGCTTTTTTTTTTTCTTTTCAGCCTGAGCCTAAATTTCTCTCCCTTCTGGGTCCCAGAGGACTCCTGTGTTGGCTGCCCCTGCCATACCTGTTAGGTTTATCTGCTGGGAGGCTGGTTTCCTGTCCTCCAATGAACTGACTGCGCAAAGAAGCAGTAACTGTTACATTCATTTGGCACTTGGCACAGTCAGCCTCAGGCTGCTGACTATAAAACACGGGGCATGCACCCTTTGGGAGTGAGACAGCCCTGACTTCTGATCCAGGCTCTGACACTTACTCACTGAGGGACCTTGAGCTAATCAGGCTCTAAGCCTCAGTTGGCTCGTCTGTAAAAATTGATTTAATAATAGCCCTATTGCGAGGGCTGAATAAGATAATGGATAAGAAACTTACATACCTGGCTGACAAGAGACAATAAATGGTAGCAATTATTAGTATTGCTAATTGTCCTTCCAGCTCTAACCTTCTATGAATTTGTCCATTTCTTGTGTCCCCTAGAAAACAGAAATCCCCTTCAAGGACCAGAACCACGTCCTAGGCCTCCTTACATCCCTATACCTAGCTCACAGAGGCCTCTCAGAAGAGTCAGCTGCTCACCCAGCAACCCTGCCACCACACCTGAAGGCCTACTCTGGGCCAGGCCCCTTGCTAGATGCCCTGGATGTCCAGGTGACTGGGACACCACAGTCTCACTTCTCTTGATGAGCTCACAGTCGACGGAGAGACAGCCACCAAAGCAAGTAAAAGCAGTAGCATGGTAGGTACGGAGGCAGACATCTAAGGAGCCCACCACAGGACCTGTTGGTCCCAGCCTCCTCCTGGAGAAGAGACTGGTGGGGGAGCGCACAGCCACTAAGTGGAAGGCAGGGCTCCCGCGTCATCAGCAATGGCCCTGAGAACAGATGCTTCAGGTTCATCGCCCTCTGGGCGAAAATGGCCAGGACGAGCCTTTGGAGGAGGCTGGGGAGGGGTTACGTGTGTGCTTCCTCTGCTGTTAAAAGAAATGTTACAATCCGCCCAGCTCCTGGCCATGCTGGCCTCTGTTCCTGTCTGGAGGTGCATAGGGTCTGCACTTTGGGATTGACATTCAGGTTGATGTGTAAATGGTTGGGGGAGGTGAGGGAGGAGGATCAAATGCCTCTAACGAGAAGATTTCCCACTGCCCCACTGAGGCAGGAAGCCTGGAAAGATGGCCCCCTGGTTGTGGCCCTCCAGTCCTGGTCTGGTGTTAGTGCCCCGGCCAGGGCCAAGATTTAGGGCTCTGGCATCTTCTCTGAGTGGGCTGCACTGGGAAGAGAGGAGCCTCTCCAAAGGGAGATCGAGCCTAACAACTCTCTTAAAGTTGGGATTCCAGGCAGAGCCACTTCCCCTTTCCTTTCCTAGAACGAGTGACCAGAGCTGCAGCCTGGCCTTGGGGATCCAAGGCTGAGGTCTGAGGTCACCTCTGGAGTGAGGCTGAGGGCGGGGGCATCTGGAGACCTGGGGGCTGTCTCTTAGGGGTGTGGGGGAGGTGGGGGACATGGCTAATGGGAAGCAGGTGGAAGGGCTGCCTGCTCCCAGCCAGGGGACAGGCCGCTGGGATGGCCCAGTCAGTGGGAGGACCCGTCAGTGCACAGATAATCCCGTGGAACAGGCTACGTGATGCCCATTCATATTCATTATGTGTGAAGTGGGCGGTTGTAAAGTTAGCTTTCTCTTCATTTAGCTGTCACCAGACAGAAAAATATGAGCTGTGGGCAGATGCCCCTGGATGAGAGCCAGTAGCGCTCTCTGGCCTCCCTGTGCCCTCCCCAAGCAGGGACCCGCCACAGGTCCTCTTCTAGCCTCTGCCTGCCTCTCCCACTGTTGCTGCGCTGATCTCTGGCTCGACTTTATTTTCTTCTCCTGTGTGTCTGCTTGCTTTGCTTGGGCTTTGACGGGTCCTTTTCTCTTCCCTCCCTCCACCTTTCTAAGCCAAGAGACAGAAGCATGTTTTTCTCTATCTACCATTGCTCCTCTTTGGCACCCAGCACAGTGCCTGGCAGAGTAGGCACTCAATAAATGTTTGCAGAACAAACTAACCTCTCTCTGCATCTCTCTGACTTTTATGGGGCAGAAGGTCCAAAACTTTGCTGTTTACTCCTTGGGTGAAGAAACTTCTAGTACAGCAGTGTGAGCCCTAGAGTCAAAAAGGCGAGCTTGAGCCCCAGTTCCATTACTGACCAGGTGGGTGAGGGTGGTTCTGTTCATCAGTGGCAGCTGGCATGCCTATCCCTCCCGACTCTCCCCGCTCCTCTGCGGTGTGTCCCTCCCCCTGCTGGACACAGGGCTCACGCCTGCACCTCAGAGTCAGCATCAGACGAGAGGCAAGGAAATCGCCAGAAGCCAGGCACTTGAATTGAGGGAAGGAAAGGGAAGAGAAGGAAGACACTGACTCTTTTGGGGATACATGGCCTTGTCACAGCGCCTGTCTTGGCTGGGAAATCTGATCTGATGGGGCGCTCGCTCCCTCCTTGGGAATAAGCTCAGCCCTGTGTCTTTGTGGGCTTGGGTTTCTCTGTGCCTGAAAGATGAGGCTTGGGGCGGGGGCGGCCCGGCTGCTGGCTGAGGCTGAATTCTTCTAAGCAATGTGGTTGTGTTTACTGGGAGGGTGGGAGGGCCTCCTTTCTTCCTGGCTTCCAGGCTTCAGAGATAAGTCAGAAAGTGGGGATGAAGGATAGAAAGGGTAATACTCTGAAACCACAAGAAAGAGTTCTGGCTTTCGTCTCTGCCCCACAGCTCAGACGTGCTCTTGGGGCGTCTGGGAGAAGGGAGCCGCCCCACCCCCACCACTCTGGGGTCCCAGCCCATGGGGACAGCTCAGAGCCTTTAGTGGGCACCAGATCTTCCATTCTACTGCCCCTCTTATTGTCAGTTCAGCCACGAAGTTATTTCAGCTTTTTCACTCTCCTTCCCACCCCCAATTTTCCCTGCTGAGTGAGCCCAGCCCTAGAGCCTCTATGCTCCCTGCCTCCCAGCACCAACCAAAGGCACAGAGCCCCTGGGCAGGTGACAGGGCTAGGCGTGGCATGCAGCGGCCTGGAGAGCTCTGCTGCAGGCCATCTTCCCCTAACCTCTGGGGTCCTTGCTAGGCCCTCAGGAGGGCCTGGCTCAGCCTGGATCCTGGGCACAGATGGGACCTAAAGGGCCTGGCCCTGGGGATATACAATCACCTGGTATAAAAAAACAATACCACCTTTATTACTATGCTGGGCAGCACTTTTTTTTTTTTTTTTTACAAAAGTATCTTTACAAAAATGGGGGTTGGGATCTCAGAGTTTGTGGAAATCTGTTTTTTTCTGAGCAACATCCAATGCAGTTTCCATGGCATAGCTCTGGGCTGATCCTATGAAAGAGAATCCAAATATTTGGTGGTTTCTGGTGGAATTTCTGCCCGCTTGCAGGGGAAGATGACTGCATAGCATGTCGGGAGACAGGGCACAGGGCAGGAGTAAGGGATGGCTGGAGCAGGGGAGTGGGCACCTTTTATGCCGACCTTGCCTTGCAGGCCCCCTGGTGGTGGGGAGGGGGAAGTGAGGCCGACTCTAGGTGGTCACTCAGAACTCATCCTGGTTCATTCTGCATCCTCCTCCTCCCATTTTCCTGGGTTCCCCAAATGAGGAGCCAATTAAGCTGTTGAAGCTGGAGAGATGACAGCTGAACGAAGTCTCAAGGATGCAGGGCAGTATCTCCCTCTCTCCAGCCCAGAGTTGGGGCGAGGGAACTCAGTTTGTGGTAGGAAGAGTCTTTTGAAGCCCTTTCTCTTAGGCAGCCCCACCTTATTCTAAGAGAAAAGACCCTGTAGCATGTTCCCTGCTGGGGGCTGAGGGTCCCAGCTGCTCTCCCAGGCCTCTGGAACTATCTGGGGCTTGGAGGCAGAGGTGTGTCCTCTCCAGCATCCAGGCAGGGATGGGCTGGGGGCAGCTGGGAACAGAAAAGGGGTGGATAGCACAGTGTGGGTCCGTGTGACCGGTCACGTGGTCCAGTTCAGCAGGCTGGGTGGCTCCTTGGGCTTCACCCTGAGTGAGACAAGGCTTGGAGACTTATAGTCACCGTCCGGGGAGGTCTCAAAGCTGTGGCCCCCCAGGGCGGGGGTAAAGCTGTGGATGGAGTAGATGCCAGGGTGGGCTGCAGGGGAGGCTGGCATCCCCATGAAGCCAGCCACACTCCCATGCGTGTGGGAATATGGAGACATGCATGGGGAGGGGATGCCCTCTGGAGACACGAGGCAGGGGCCCCCAGGGCTCCCAGACCCTGGACTGGGCCACAGGGAGTTCTGCAGCTGCAAAGAGAGAGAAAAGAAGGTCCATGAGCCAGTAGCCCCAGAGCTGTCTACCTCGCCCAGAGGCTCTCTCTTTGTCCTTGGGGCCTCAGAAAACTTGGCTTAGGTCTATCCCCTCCTACCCCCAACACTGGCAGTGGCGTCTTGGGAGGCCCTTGCCACTGCTCCCAAAATGAAATTTTCTTTTATGATTCCTTTGTGTTCTGCATGCATCATTCATGAGACACACAAGAGCCCCAATTTGCAGAGGACGAAGTTCAGTGATTTGCCCAAGGTCACACAGAACCCTGAGGCTGCTCCAGATTTCCCTGGGCCAGAGCTCATATTCTTTATGGTAACCCCATGGGACAAGGTTGGGCCCTGACTTAGGTGGGGTTGGGGTCTCACCTGGGGGTGGCTGTCAGTGCGGGGTAGCACAGAGATGTCATAGGCAGCTGTGAAGGGGTTCCGCCCCTCCTGGATCTTCCCGTAACGCTCACGCTTCCGCCACTTGGCTCTGCGGTTCTGGAACCAGACCTGGGGGCAGGTTGGGAGGGGTTGAGGGGGTGGCAGAGCAGCCCTGAGGATTGGAGCCTGCTGGGGAGAGAGTCATGCTGTGTCCTCCTGTGGGGGGGGAGCTAGCTGCAGGCTGGAGCATCTCGAGCTGCAGGGGATTGTTAATCCTCACTGTTGTCAGGGCCAGGGCAGCCTGGGATGAAGCCTGAGGGAGGCCTAAGCCCAGAGCAGGTTAATTGGCCCCATGGGCCCCCCCGCTACCAGTCCCTAGGCTGAGTCACTCTCTGGTTCCCCAGCCTGGCTATGTTTGGTAGGGGTTTCATGGAGGGGTCCATGGGTCTGAGAGGCCCTGGACCATGCCTGTGTGTTGGGTTCCTAGTCCCCCGGTCTCATTTCCTTTTCCAGTCTACCCACTTCACAGCATCTGAGGAATCTTAAAGACATTTCTGTTCTAGTCATGGTCCTGCTTTAAACCCTCTGTGGCTCCCTGGAGACCTTGGCCCAGAGCCCAGCTCCTTAACAAGGCCCCTGCCTCTCTCCACAGCCCGATGTCCTGCCAGGCCACAACACCCAGTTCTTCCTAGTTGCTTCTCAAGCTCCCACCCCAGCTCTCCTCTGAAATACTCTGCTATGCTGCTCTCTCCTGCTGTCGCTTAGGTTTCCTGCCTGGGCTGCCCATCCCCCCAACACATACATCTAAGCTAGACACCTCCACTGGACTTCCATCACACCCTGGACCTCTCTCCCTGTTCTTCCCACATTCCGTTACCATCCATTTTGGAATCTGTCTCTCCCATTCATTTGTGGGCTCTCGGCAGTTTGGGGTGGCACCTCTGTGTGTTCTGCACATGTGTGTGCATTATCTGTGAGAAATTTATCTGGTGTATGCCCTATGACTGTTACATGTATGTGTATTCTTATATGTCTTTTGCATTTCCATCACTAATCAACATTTATGTGTTAGGCTCTGGGCTAGACGTTAGCATCATCAAACAAAACTAAACAAACAAAACCAACTTCTGCTTTCCAGGGATCTGGGTGGGAGCCACAACAGAAGCATCCCATGTGTGTTTGCACGTATGTGTATAAGAAACCCAGCTACCCTGGCCGGGATGAGAAATCCTGCCCCAGCCCCTCACACTCCACACTCGACATGGTCAGTCCTGCTCACGCAGGCAGGCGAGGCGCTGGTGGTTAAGAGCCTACTCAGCCCCCTTGCTCGCGGGTGCAGAGATCCCAGAGCAGGTCTGGTGCATGCTCAGGGAAAGGCCACCCCCACCTGCCCAGATGCCTGGATTTCCTTTCTCTACTCTCCCTCCTCTGCAGGAGGATGAAAAAGCCTGGAGCCAGTGAATCTTATTTCTGGGAATTACTTCTCTGTCTCCACCTACTTTCCTCCAGAGTCCCCACTGTAGACCTCCCCCTGGGCTCTGGACCTGCCCTCTGCGTAGTCCAGTGTGTGGTCTTATTATTGTTCTCCACAGGGCAGGATTTATGAGTGGGTGTCATGCTTCTGTCAGAGAAAACATCCCTCGTCTAGTGCCTCAATCCTCAGAAAAGCTTCTACAATCAGGCTGGGGCCTCATGGCTACCCACATAGCCTTCCAGGGTTGACAGAGCCTAGGAGGTGAGTGGAGGAGATGTCCTCCACTTCCCCCAAGCACTTCCATAGGGAAGAGCTATTCGGACCCTGCCTCCGAGGCCTGCAGAGGTGTTCCTGGAGACTCCATGTTCCAGACGCCTATGGCTTATGTAATCTGGGCTTGTCTTGAATGCTGGGCCTCTTGCCCTGATAACCCCAGCCCCTGGAGAGCCTTGGGGGACAGTCCTGGAAGCTGTTTTGGCTGCTACCTGGGAGGAGAAGGGAAGCAGGAGGACCAGCAGAGAAGGGGAAACAGCTGAAGTCCCTCTGGTGTCATATTAGATGGTAGGGCCTTCTCTGCTAGATGGCAATTGGCCTCTTTATAGACAGGCCTGCGAGTCCCCGTATCCTGCCAGAGCTGGCCCCTGTCCCAGTGCCTTCAAAAAGGGTCTCTGGAAGGGCCCTTTGTAGCGTGTGATGAGCATGAGCTTTGTCCCTGCTAAGTCTCCTCTGAGGTGGGAGAGACAGTCTCCTCTGCCTGAGAGGTCACCTCCTCCCCTTTCCCTAGAACCCTAAACCCACCCCTCCCAGCGCCTCCTGCTTGGCATCAGGGAGCCCACTATGATCAAGCCAGTTCAAAGCAAGGCAACGAACAGCCATGTTCCTCTTGGGCCAGACTTACCGAACCTCCTTCCCCACTCACAGCCTGCTAGCCACTTTCGTGTTCTTTGTCACTTCCAACATGCCTGGACACAGACTTCCCTTTGCCCTTTCCCAGCATCTGCCCACCTCCCCAGCCCCTCCTCACAGGCTGGGCTCCCTTCTCAGTGAAACTGGCCCCAGCCCCATCCAGGAAGCCCTGGGGCCCATCTCAGTGGGGGAGTTTGCTAGGGTGGGGAAGGGCTCCCAGCCAGGCTCTCCCAGCCTGGGTCTGAGAGCTGGCAGGGACTAAAAGTCACTGATTCTGAGACCCCCCCTGGCAGGGACCCTCTCATTCTGGAGAGCCACCAAAGGAGCAGCTATGATGTGTGTTCAGCACTTCACAGCTTCCCAAATGCCGCCACATTGTGATCCTCTAGATAATACCTAAGCGGCTAGTATGATACTATCATGCCCTTTTCCTGAATTGGGAAACAGACTAAGAGATTCACTGACATGCCCCAAATTACTTAGCCAGCTAGTAAGTGCCGAGCCAGGCCTCCCACACGGGTCTTTGACTCCAAGAGGCCATTACCTTTATACCCACGCATAAGTCTCAACTTGGGCCGGAGGAGCCTGTGGCTGCAGCAGAGCCGGGCATGGAGGGTGAGCCCAGGAGGGCAGGCTGGGGGCAGGCACCTGCGAAAGGCAGCTCTTTGAGGCGCTAGCCCCTGCTTCTCCCAGCCCTTCCAGGCTCTGGCCACAGTCTGGGTGGTCGAGGCAGCCAGAGAGCCCCGTGCCCATGGTGCCCTCACCTGTACCCGGGCCTCAGTCAGGTCCGTGCGCAGAGCCAGCTGCTCCCGGGCATACACATCAGGGTAGTGGGTTTTCTGGAAGACCTTCTCCAGCTCCTCCAGCTGGAACGTGCTGAAGGTTGTGCGGTTACGGCGCTTCTTGCTCTTGTTCTTGGCCAACTCCATGGAGTCAGGGAGTCCCGGGGAAAGAGGGAGACGCAGGCTGGCCAGGCAGGGACCTGGGGAGCCTTGCAAGTTAGAGGGCCCGTCTCTGGGTCCCCCTTGGCAGTCTAAGGGCAGCTGGGGGAAGCTGGCAGTTTTGGAGGCCTTCTCCTCAGCTGCAATGGAAAACACAAAAAGGAGGATGGAAACCGAACCAGGGGCTTTTGTGGGTGGAATGGAGGGAGGGGGGAGAACGCTGACGCTTCAGTCTCCGCCTCCCCCTTCCTCTCCCTTCCCTGCCCTTCCTCCCGGCAGTCACCCTCCATGGGAGCCTGGCATTCAGAGGCCTGCCTGCTGAGGCTCCAGCTGGGGAGGGGGCCCTGGGGAGCCATGTGCTCTGTGGTCTGGGCGGATCTGCTGGGGCCAGAGGGGGGTTCGTTTCGGGGAAGTGCTCTGTGGCGGCGTGTTCCACAGGGTGTGGAGGTGCCAGGATTGGCGCCACAGCGGGGACCACCACCCTGGCAAGGCCAGAATAGGGGCGGAGGTGAGGATGGTATGGCCGACATCTGCCTCTGCCAGAAAGTGCTTCCTTGTTCCTGACTCTTCAGGCCTTTGTTCCCAGGCCCTTGCGCCCATGCCTCTGCTCCCAGGACCAGGTGGCCAGTGGACGGCGATGCTCAGACCACCTTTGGTCCGGCTGCACCTTGTTCTCTGGATCCCAAGTCTCAGGTCAACATCAAATTCCCTCGCTTTGGTGTATGAAGGGCAGGATGGGACAAAGAGGCTTCCAGAGGGATCTCCTCTCTCCATTCCTCCTAAAATTGTGAAGTCTGGGCAAGGACTCAAGCTCCAGCAATAGAGAGGTGGGGCTGACATAGGCTGTGCTTGAAGAAGGGAGTTGGGGGACCAGTCCACGTCGTTCTCATCACTGCCTTCCTCTGGAGTTTCTGGCCGCTCCTCCAGTCCTGGGATTAACAGGCAGGGAGGACTCTCTTGCAGACTGGGAACAGTTTCCAGCAGCCCCACTCTGACGTGCTTCTCTCAGGAAGCTTGGCGGAGCCCCACCATGACGGACCAACCGACAGGCATGGTGAAAAATAGGTCAGCCTGATCCCCGCCCTCTCCCGCTGACAAGGACCCCCCCAGTGGCATCCCCATGAAATCCTTCCGCAACAGTCCACTGGGATGGTAGATGAGACGCCACAAAGACGCCCCACTGACTCACACAGCCTTTTCTCTGGCCCTGGGCCCATCTCCAGTGGGGGCCTGGCCCAGAGGAGGCCCAGCTAGCTGGCACCGAGAGGCAGTTTCTTCCCCAGGACTTGGTGTTGGGATCACAGCTGTAGTTGGGGGAGGCTAGGACCAGAGAAATGGGCTTCTCGGGATCTGGGTCTGATAAGTCCCTGTCTGCACTGTGGGGGACAAGTTGGGCAAGGTCCCCGACCTTCCAGTGACCTCCCAGGACCACCCAGGCTATGAAATAAGCTCCCTGTTGTGTGTCCTGGACACCTGGGACAGTCAGGCAGGGCCTGGCCTTGGAATATGCCCAGCCTGTTTACAGGTGGCCCACAGCGACAGCCCCAGGCACCAGGTCTGCTCCACTCAGGTGGAACATGAGAGGAAAATGTTCGAGTTCCTGACTTCTGTTCTTGGCCAACACATTTTGGTTCTAGGGGTAGTTCCATTAGGTAGAAGTGTAGAAGGAAGACTTGTGGAAGTTGAACCAAATAAGTGAAAATGGTCAGGGAGACCAGGGAGGACTGGAAGGGGACACTCCACACACAGTAGAACCTCAAAATATGCGACCTGAGAGGGAAGAGTCTTGGTGTCTTGGGTTTGCAGGGAGGCCATGCTGGACTCCAGGCAGAAAAGGGGTGAGAATAGCTCGGGGCTGGGGTTCAGGAAGTACTGACGTCACCGCAGAGGCTCTCCGAAGCCCTGGGGCTTGCTGATCTGCTGATCAGTGTCTGTCCCAGTAGGACCTGCCCAGAGGAAGTGACCAAATCTGGGGCCTTGAGATTTGCCTTCCTGACCTTGAGCTGCTCAGCTGCCAAGGTCAAGGGATAAAAGTGCAGCAGGACTTCTCAGGACAGCTTCCCAAAAGAAAAGGCCAAGCCCACTGGCCTCTGCTTGCCTCCCATGCCTGCCCAGTCTACAGCCTTCTCAAGCAGCCAGAGAACTGCTCCCCTCCTTACTGCCATCACCAAAACTTCTTTGATCTGCCAGGAGGATGCCAGGGGGAGGATGGCATCCCACCTCTTTAGGGGACAGGGGCACTCCTCAGAGAACACGGAGCAGCCTCCCAAGGAGCGAGGAGCGAGGCATAGAAGAGGAAAAAGAAGTGAGATAAATAGGGATGGTGAGCAAACACAGAGACCAGGAATGAAAGCGAGCAGTTTGAGTCTGTAAAGGAGAAGGCTGCTCTATTAAGGGCGGGGCACATTCAAAGTGTCTATAGGCTGTGCATAGGAGTCACTGCATCTGACCCAGACACTGGGCAGGTAGTTAAAGGGAAGAACTCATGCTGGAGACTAGGAGCCTGGGGCTCAGTCCTGGGCATCCTTGGCTTGCATAACTGCAGGGCGACAGCAGCAGCTCTTGGGCGTGAAAGCCAGGAGCCAGGACCAGGACTTTTAATGAGCTCTCTGACCCTGACCTGGCTCTCATGCCAGCTGCACTCCTGACCCAGGGGGTGCCAGAGACCCTATTAGGGGCTGCCTCTAGCCGCTGTGCAGTCCCAGGGCAGCATGGTTTGCAGCGCCTAGCGAGTGCTCCACTGTCCCCACAGAAGGCATCCCTTGAGGCGGTGGGCTTTCATTTTTCGCTGCAGCCTTGCTCCGTGCGGGTCCTGCGCTGTTTCCTCTCTTCACGCTGGGGTCGCCAAGCGACCTGCAGAACTTGCTGAGGAGTGGGCTCTAACAATCCTCTGGCTGAAAACCCAAAGCCAGTGTGGACATAAACACCGTGGGTAAGACCACGACGAGACCTCGGTGCTCTTCCTAGAGGCCTCAGCCAAAGGCCGAGGACTTGGTACTCTCTTGGACGTCTGCAGTCGCCACCGGTCTTCTGACTCAGGGCCTCAGAGGCAGCGGGCAAAACTCTAGCAGGAGTCACTTTCCTACAGCTAGCGCGTTCCAAGGTCAGGGAGCCAAGCTCGGGGACAGACTGGCGGCCCCGGTGGGACAGGAAGGAACTGCCGACCACCTCTCTGGCTCTCAGGGCAGCCACGTGCAGAGGGCACGAGGCGGCTGGCACCGCCAAGATGCGACCTCCGTCCAGAGCAGGGCTGGGTGCTCCCTGCAAAGGGCGCCCGGAGCGGCGCGGGCGACGGCTGGGCGAGAAGCGCGGTGCGCCAGACTCGGGGGCACGCAACCGCCCGGCCTCAGCAGAGCTCGCCCCGCAGATGGGGCGCAGCTGCGCGCCCACTGGTCTGAACTGGAAACGCTCTGAGCCCGTTATTTTAAAAGCCAGGAAATAAGGCGGGTTCCCCCTTCACCCGCCACTTACACCAAGTAGGCTGCGCGGCCCCGGGGCTGCCTCTCCGCTGCCGCCTGCCCGCCGGGCCGCTCTGCCGCAGGGACCCGGCGCCGGTCAAGCTCCGTCCGGGGTCGCTACCGGGCAGCGCCCGCACCTCCTGCCTCCCTTCGTCTGGCCCGTCCTCGGCTCAACTGGAATCGTTAATTTTTTTTTAATCCCACTCGTACTCATTTTGTGTTATACTCTTTCAGGATGTCCCTTTTTCTTTCGTTTCGTCTGCTCCCTCCCTCTTCGTCCTTTCCCTCCTTCTCCATTTACCAGCTTCGTTCGATCTCCCTCTTACTGTTTTTCCGCTCGTTCTTCCTTTACTCCATTCCGTTCTGCCCGGCTCACCGGCTGCCGTTTACTTCTCGTTCTCGCCGCTCTGCTCCGCTGTTTGGTTTAATTCCCTTTCCCGTTTTTCTGATTGCTGTTCACACTCTGTGGTTTTCCTTCTCGGCGTTTCGTTGTCGACGACACCCCCGCCGTCGGATCCAAGTCGCTCCAACCGCTAGCTCCGCCGCCGCGCGCTCCGCAGTCGGCTCCGCGCGCCTCGCCCGGACGCCAGCCCGCGGGCGCGTCGAGCCGGGCCGGTACCTGTCCCCGGCGGCGCTCACGGGGCTGCGCGGCCGCTGCCGTCTGGCTGGGATCAGAGCAGCCAGGCCAACTGCTTCTCATTAAGTCCCCACCGTGGTTTTTATCGGGAGAGCCCCTTTCAAAGGGCACAGACGAGAAGCTCGCCGGACTCGTCCATTTCCTCCGCTGACCCCCGCACACCTCCCGCCCTCCCCTTCGCGTCCCCGCCGCCCGGGCTGGACGACGGCCCGCCATGCCCGGCCACTCGGTGGAGGAGGCCGTGAGGCGCCGGCGGGGCGGCGGCGGCGGGCTGAGGCGGATCTCAGAGGATCCAGCTCTGGGCCCAGGCGCGGGAAGCGGCCGCGCAGACAGGGTGGGCGCGGGCGCCGAGATGCCTACTGGTCAGCGGGCGCCGCGGGCGGCGGCAGCGCTGCGGATCAGCCTGCCAGGCCCGGGCCTTCAGGCGCGTTCCCGGGTGATGGAGCGTTGCAACCAGAATTAGCACAGGGCTCCGGCCCAGGACCCTCAAGGCGCCCCGGGGCTAGGCCTGCCCAGAGCGGCTCCCGACGGGCTAGCGGCGACGATCCGGCGCCGGGAGAGCCGAGACTGCGAGAAGGGCGGCCGTCACCGTGCAGAACGACGGGAGGCCAGGTTAGTCTGAGAAATAAGAATACAGTTACTCCGTTTCGAGAATGGCCCCGGCCAGGACCAGCCGCGGACGCTCCGCCGAGCGCCTAACGCACAGGCAGCGCCCTTTCCGAGGAGGCAAGGCCCAGGGAGGAGAGGCGGGCCAAGGACAGGCCTCAGTACTCAGCAGAGCCCCATTTGGCCACTCTAGGTCGAGGCCCAGCCGATGGGCCCTCAACGGGCACCAGACACAAAAGCCACGCTTCTGCGTCGGGGCTCAGTGTGGCTCCCCAGCCCTCGGCCCGGTCCAGGCTTCAGGGCCGGCGGCACTTCCAGCCCTACTCCGGCGAGCATGGTCTCTCTTGCCTGGCTCCGGCCACTTTCGGCCCGCCTGGGACCCGAGCTGTCGCCGCTCTACCCTCCCTCGACCTCCTGCCTCCCATTCCCGCCTCCTGGGACGCTGGTGGCTCTGCCTCCCGCACCGCACTGGCCTTTGCCTGGCCCGGGCCAGCGCCAACCCGGCTTTCGTGGGAGCAGTGTCGAAAGGCGAGAGGGACAAAAAGTTGACACATAGGCAAGCGGGAGAGTTAAGCGGGGAAGTCCGGGTCGGCCGGGTAGGGAAGAAGGAGAGAGGGTTGGGCTGCGCGCTCCGCGCCTCGCGTTACCTTCCGCGGGGCCCTCGTAGAAGTGGCCGCCGTTGAGCGCCAGGCCGGGGCCGAGGTCCTGCAGGTACTTGGCGGGAGGCTTGGCCGGCTCTGGGAGGTAGGGCTCCAGGGGCCCGCAGGCCGGAAAGCGGGTCAGCCGCGGCCCGCGGGGCGGCGCGGAGTGCAGGTGAGGGGCAGTGGCTGGGGTCCCCTGGGGGCCCGGAGGCTCGTCCCCCGCGGCCGCATAGGGTCTGGGTGCAGGCCCCACACCGAAAGGCGCGCAGCGCTCAGGGTCCATGCTGGCTTGGGGCGCACAGGCCTCCGGGGCTCCCGGGCTCGCGCTGCCCGCGCGGCCTGAGAGCGCCCGCCAAGGGGGAGGGACCTGGGAGCGGGGGCGCGGAGCCCCCGGGAGCGGCGCGCGCCGCGGGGGGCGGGGGGCAGAGGAGGGGGCCGCGCCTCTGACTTAATGCTAGAACCATCCACGTCACGTGTGGCCCCGCGCGGGTTAACCCCTCGGAGCCCGGGAACCCCCCCATTAACCCAGAGCCCCGTGTCCCCGGCCATTCAAGGAGAGGATGAAGCAGCTTCCTCTCTAGGGCGGGATCCTTTTGTCTACCCAGCCAGGTGAGTCCGTTCTCCAGAGCAGCACCCTTTGTCCTGATATGCAGCCTAGTGGCTGTTGCCCCTGGAGCAGTGAGGCAGCCTGGGACAGACCTCCCTCCCTCTTGCAACAAGCACTTTTAGGCCCGTCTCCTGACAGCCTGAGACGAGGGCCTGGGGCAGGCAGGGGTTGGGCTGCAACTTTACCTAGCTCTCTTTGCTGGGAGCTGGAAGGGCCGCTACCTCCAGCAAAAACACCTCCCCCAGAGATCTGGTGATTCTGACGGGAGAGAGGAGTCACTGGGAATATGTTGTGTGGAAACGGCTCTAAGCTGGGAATCCGGCCTGGGAGCTTGGACTTGGCCACTATCATTAATTATCTGTGAGACCTTGAGCCAGTCACTTAGTGTCCTCATTGACTGTGGAGGTTGGGCCGACACAACTCTCAGTCTTTTTATATATGAGTGGTGAGTTTCAAAGGCAGAGGCAGGGCCAGAGCAGACAGGGAGACTCCCAGTGGCAGCTCGGACTGAAGAGGGTCCAGCACAGGCAGCCTTTGGAACAGGTGGAGGAGGAGTAGAAGGGCTAGTGTTCCCTGTGGGCAGCAGGCGCGGAGTGAATGCCTCTCAATGGGCCAATGACCCGGGTGTCTAAGGACCCACTGGAGAGAGTCTGTCTGCAGTCGAGACCTCAGGGATCTGCTACCTTAAGCCTGTCATTTTGGAGAGGATGAGGGTAGGACTGATATTCTAAGAGCTGGGTCTCCCCAGCCAAGAGGAAACATAGGGTTAGGGCAGTAGTTTATAATTTCTGAAAAGAGAAACCACTGCCTACTCTACTAAGATCTGGGAAGAAGTACCCAAGGCCCCCCAAGACCCTGTTCACTTCCGGTGGATTGAGAAACCCTTGAGTCTGGGTTAAACTGTTTTTATTTCCAGTACCTCCAGAGACTAGCAAGAGAATTGGGGAGTCAAACATCATTTGTATTTCATTTGAATTCTTAATTTTTAAAGGAATCCAGGAGGCCTGGTGTGAACACCTCCTTCTTCCGCTGAGGGCTTAGAGGGGGTTTCTTGGCTGTCCTCAGCCAGAGTTGGGCTGTAAATCAAGGCCAAACAGGAACCAGAAGCCTTGCATCTCACAAGGAGTCATTAAGCCATTATTAAACATACCATAACGCCTCTGAAGCCTTATTGGTTTAAACACCACATTGGAGGCATTATGGCCATTAGGGCCCCTAATCACAGACTGCAGACGGGGCAGAGGGATGGGAGCACCTCGGGCTGGTATTCCCAGCCAAGAGGGAGGCTCGGCTTGAAATTAAGTGTCCCCTCTGGCCTCACGGGGGGAATCCATTCTCCAGGATCCAGTAGATCTGAGCTCTGGGCAACCAGTTTGAACCAATCACCTTTGTCCATTAATGAGGTCTTTCAATAATTGTTGATTGGATATTGTTGACTTTCTAGGAGGATGTTAGTGTCAGTTCAGGACACCTGTTCTAGTCAACAAAGTTATCAAGTGGCTTACTGTGGAGGATGCAAGTATGATACAGGAAAATGTCACCAACAATTTAAACAAGGCACCGTGTATTAAATACTGGGTCTCTTGCCTCAGGTGATAACCTTCCTGAGCCTCAGTTTCCTCATCATAAAAATGAGCCACACATGTGGACCTGGGGTATTTGGACCAGAAGCACTCATGTTGTGAATTACTATGTTAATTCAGAGGTGAGAATGATTATGATCTCCAGAAATGGTAGCCCAGATTTCTGAGCTCCGTCCCTGAATTGGTGGAAGGCTCCTGACTCCAGACTGCATGGGTCTAAGGCTGGAGCTGAGCAAAGGGATCCAGGGACCCACAACCCTTTTCAAGCCCAGAAGTTTCTCCTGACATTCGTTCACTCTCTGAACAGAACAAATGTCCATGCTGGGATGGTATTACCAATTGAACTGAGGAGACAGGAAGCCCCAGATTATATGGGAGTTGGGTGGGTAAGTGCAGTTGCCCCTCTTGGGAGGGTTTTCTCCCAGAACCAATGCAAGTCAGGACACTGAGAGGAGCCTCCGTGTCCCCCTCCACTCTCCTATTAAGCCACTAGTGCAAACTATTATCTTCAACCATAGATAAAGAATTTTATGGTCTGGGAAGAGTTTGATGGAACAGGTGCATAAAAAACACAAAAAGGACAAGCTGAGAGTTACTAAATTTTCCTTCTTAGGAGGGCCAGGAGATCATGGAGTACCACAGAGGCCCTCATTTTATAGATAAAACAATAGCTAACGCATAGCACTTACAGTGTGGGTTGCTGTCTCATGCATTCTACATACATTGACTTAATCCTCACAGCAACCGCATGAAATAGGCACCGTTATTAGCCCTGTTTACCAGAGAAAGAGCCTGAGACCAGAAGGGAGCCATTTGTTCGGGTAGACACAGCCAGTTAGTGGCAGAGCCAGAATTTACACTCAGATCCGTGGTCCCCTACCCACCTCTTAGTCCTTCTTCAGCTGACATAACAAAGCTGGACTCATTCCCCAAAAACCCTCATTTCCCCAACGGGAAGGCTGAGACTTCTTCCTTAAAACGAAGTTGAGACCACAGTGGATTGGAGACACTGCACAGCTGCCTTGGTAATCACCAAGTGGCAGTTTAGTGAGACTTTCCCACCTCACTGTGGTGGCTGGGTCAGTAGGTAGAGAGTGGGTTTTGCTAAGCTGAGACCAAATGAAACAGAGTATTTAACACCTGAGAAGCTTTACAACCCATGCAGCTGATGTGGGACAGAATTTTAGAAGGATTTGAGTTCACTATTCGTGCTGTTTAATAACCAGTTGCGTTTGTCACCGAGACATTGTCCTTGGAGTAAGAGATGAGCTGAGGGTGTGATCCAATTCTAGATCCTATAATGAAAAAATTTTTTTAAAAACTTCTCCATCTCTATAAAAGAGTTACTTTTTAAATGGAAATGATACTTACTGGCTGTATTATACTCACTGATTGCTTAATTCATTCGTTTATTAGGAGGCCCCACTACGACGTGACCCAAATTTGTTGGCACCAGGTTAGAGCAGAGAGCAAGACCAACGTGATCCCTGCCTTTACGGCGCTGCATGCCTGCACTTTGCTGGAGTGGAAATGTCTCATCTACATTGAACAAAATCATCGTTTGGATGTGAATTAGAATGGAATCTGGTCTTGAGAGCAGAGTTCATGGATCTGGGCTCAACCATAAGGTCAGTTCCTCAATGAAGCAAACATCAGAACTCGCTCCTTTTTCTCCCAGCGGATATCCAGAAGGGGACAGGGCAATGGGAAGGAGGTAACCTCAGATCTGAGATTTGCATGACATATACAAAATTTCCTTCCAGACAGGAAAAATTCAGTTTTTTTTTTCCTCGAAGGGAAGACAGTCTGTATTGCCCTTGTCCTGTTTAGACACTGAAATCCTAAATTGATCCCTCTGAAAATTCTGGGTTTGGGAGACCAAGTAGATTGTTTCTCATTAGTGACATTCTTCCTGGAAGGTCAGGCTAAGGAATGGTAAATAAACCTTCAGATCCGGTGCTTCCTCCTCACCCCTGATATTTTTAAAACAGAAAGAAAGAAAGAAAAAAAGCTTTGTGCTATGGATGCCTAAAATCCTTGGCCGTGATTCTGATCATGCAGACTAAAGGCTGTTCTTTGGGGTGAAATTTCTGGGAAATTAGAGAGCTATTTTGTTCTCTTTCATTGATTTGATCTGTTTCCTTGAGAGAGACACTTAACCTCTCTGTGCCTCAGTTTCTTCACTGGAAAATTAGGAAAAATGATTCTCTAGTCCAGCGTTACTGGAATAAATGAGATAGTGTTTATACAAATGTTTCTTGAGCCTGAATCCACCACTGAACCCATATTTTTCTGCTCATTCTCTCTGTCCGGGCGTTGGGCTGCAATGGGGGCACACAGAAGTGGAGATAATGTCTCTAACATGGCAGTGTCGTGAGGACCTGAGTTTGTCTTGGTATCTGACTTACTGCCTTTGTGTGAAGGTAAATGGATTCTGTGGCAAGTGCCGCCATGGACCATGGAGAAGTCATTTTGTGGAGGAGTTTTTGAACGCATCCTTAGTGTAAAACAGAAGGGGGCACAATTAGACTTCTTGGCAATTTTAACACTTCGATTAACTAATTTTATGCATTCCTTTATTCGTCAAGCATTTATTGGAGGCCTGACGTGTGCCAGCCAGTGGGGCTGTACAGTGAGGATAGAGCCGGAGACAACAGCACCACTTACTCTCAGGGCTTTTCTAGACTAGCAGGAGAGAGACACAAAGCAGCAGGCACTGACGCCAGAAAGTGTGGTCGCACTGAGGTGGGAGAGCACAAGGGGCCGCAGGAGCCATGAGAAGGGCACCCCTCCAAGCCTTATGCTGGGGGCAGCGGTTCATGAAACGCTCCGAGGTTGAATCTAGGAATCGGAAAGTTGAGTGGGGGTTGCCAGGTGAAGGTGTGGAGGGGCGGGGAGAGAAGGCATTCAGGAGAGAACAGCCCAAGAGCGAGAGAGAGGAAGCCAAGTTTGGGGAACTCGATTTGTTGGATATTGCTGGAGCCTGGGGAAGGAAGAACATCTGGGTTGGGGAGGGGGGAAGCAGACAGAGGTGGAGGCGTCCACGGCAATGTAGAGAAACTCCAGGCAGCGGGAAGGAGGGCTCCACAGGTCTCCGTCTACCATGTCTGCCAAGCATAGCCTGAAGCACTGGATCCACTAGTGGGAGACAAGGAGGGGGAAGCCCACTCCCTGG